GTTTCGTCATGAGTTTCGTCATTCGTCATGAGTTTCGTCATTCGTCACGAGTTACGTCATTCGTCATTCGTCATTTTTGAATCTGCCTGACGAAATGGCTTCGTCATTCGTCATGACGAAAGGTTTCGTCATTCGTCAGGCATCATTAGTGGTAGGTAACTTAAAGCCAGTTTAATAAATGCGAGTTAAATTAATAACTTAGCAATTTTTTTGAATTACCAATTTTTAAAACATTCTCAGTCGCTTTTTTAACTCAAAAGGTTCGGTTGGAAGATGCAATAGTTAAATTTGAAATCTGGGATACTGCCGGCCAGGAAAGATTTCATTCGCTTGCCCAATTTATTATCGCAATGCTCAAGCAGCTATAGTTGTTTATGATGTTGCTAAGGCTGTAAATTGGAATTCAAAATCACAACAGTTCATTAGATGACCTCATTAATGTGTTAATAAATTGATAATATATTTAATATAAATTTGAATCACTTATTAGTACTCACTCGACAAAGCTAAAGAATTACAGCGTCAAGCAAACCCAAACATTGTTATTGCTCTTGTAGGTAATAAAATAGATCTAGTTCAACCTTACGAAGATGAAGTGGATGAATGGTATGAATCTGGGAGACAAGTTTTAACAGAAGCTAAATCATACGCCCTCGAGGCAGGTTTGCTTTTTTTCGAAGCTAGTGCAAAGAAAGAAGATAATGTGCTGATATTTTCAGAGATCACTAAAAAGTAACGGTTAACTTCTGGTTCAAAATTCTTTTATATACGGGTATTATACAATATGCATTTCAAAGGACAGTTTCTTATACCTTGAGAAATACCAGATTAACAGATTAAATGAAAAAAATGCCTAGATACTAGAGATGTGCGAATGCACATTTTTTTGGTTTTGCATTACATAATACAACATAATGTAGAATGTATCCTAACGGAGGATCCCTAATTTCTCCTACCAGTTCTGATTTGGCATATGTAAATTCTTTTACCAATTGACTATGTGTATCTGCACTTGTTTAGTAAGCTTGATGGAGTGAAAGGACCTCATATTTGATGATTAGGCTATGATTGATTTTGTAATTAGGCTCTGCAGAGATGACAATACAAGGACCTACGCATACTAATAAGGTATATAGTATTTATATCGCTGTACCCGATTCTTATTATAGCTACAATTGATAATTCCTTGGCTATTTTACCTGCTTATAACATTGCTTTTTAATTTCATTTGCATAATCTGAATATTTCATAATTTTATTCTATCTTCTAATGAACATCATGCATTATTTATCAAATTATATAGAAATCAGAGTTCCAGAAGCAAATTCATCTTTACAAATTTTTGTTGCAAAATCGATACTTATCCTTGCTCATAAAGGGTCTTTATCCAGTCAACAATGACTCTAAAGTTATAAATGTTAGCAGCTTTTGTAAATTCTGATCTAATAAAACCTCAGGAGTGACATAAGGCATAATATCATCATCTGAATTGTCTTCTTCCTACTTTTTAACATATCATATGCGCTGATTTGAGGAATTGCTGACATCTTCTGATCTACTGATCCGTTCTGAATGATTTAGCTACCAAAATGTTCGGCTCAATGAGACGATTCTAACGGCCAAAATCGTTACAATCCAATCACGGAATCCTGAGATCGTTCAAAATTTATGCGATTTTAATTAGTTTTTGGAATTACTATGTAATTAAGTTTGGCAGTGAATAACTTTTGATTCACTGGTTCATTTTGGATGATTTAAATGTCAAAATGTTCGTCTTAATGAGACAATTCCAACGAGCCCAAAATCGTCAAAATCTAATCACGGGATCCCGAGATCGTTAAAGATCAATACAATGCAGATAATCAACTGAGAAATGGGTTTACTATATGAAACCCATTTCTCAGTTGATTGTCTATATTGTATTGATCTTTAGCGATCTTGAGATCCCATGATAAATTTTGACGATTTTGGGCTCGTAGGAATCGTCTCATAAAGATG